AGTATCTAATGGCACCTCTTAGGGGTTCTTTTAAAAATTTCTGATGCGCACCCTCATTCTTTTGATATGGGAGTGCCCACCCCTGGGATAATAACATGGAAATTCTGTTACATATGACCAGAATGTTTGTAAAGTGCAATATAATTTATTGATGGTGGTAAAAGAAAAAGAACACTGCTTATCCATTGACAATCTCTGTTTTATCCTCAGATTCTTGCAAAAATACAACTGTACTGGCAGAAAAACCTGTGACCCACTTTGCTGACAAAAAGGACAAAAGTGACATGGATGACTTAGCAACGGGTAATTTGTGTTATTTTGGTAATCCCATGAAACCCCGCTTTCTCCATGCTTTATTTATGCTTTATCCATGCGTGATCCATGCTTTATCCATGCTTGATCCATGCTTTATCCACGCTTTATCCAGGTTTTATCCACGCTTTATTCATGCTTTATGCATGCTTTATCCATGCCTTATCCACACTTTATCTATGCTTTATCCATGCTTTATCCACGCTTTATCCATGTCTTATCCATGCTTTATCCACGCTTTATCCATGTCTTATCCATGCTTTATCCACGCTTTATCCATGTTTTATTCCTGCTTTATCCATGCATTATCTATGCTTTATCCATGCTTTATCCATGCTTTATCCACGCTTTATCCACGTTTTATTCCTGCTTTATCCTTACTTTATCTATGCTTTATCCACGCTTTATCCATGCTTTATCCATGCTTTATGCACGCTTTATCCACACTTTATCCATGCTTTTTCCACGCTTGATCCACGCTTTATCGATGGTTTGCCATGCTTTTTCCATGCTTTATCCACGCTTGATCCACGCTTTATCCACGGTTTTCCATGCTTTATCCATGCTTTATCCATGCATTATCCACGCCTTATCCATGCTTAATCTATGCTTTATCCATGCTTTATCCACGCTTTATGCATGCTTTATGCATGCTTTATCCATGCTTTATCCATGCTATATCCGCACTTTGTCCACACTTTATCCATGCCTTATCCATGCCTTGGGAGGCGCGGTGGCCTCATGGTTAGTGCGTTCGTCTCCGGATCGTGCGGTCCGGGTTCATTGTGTTGTGTTCTTGGGGAAGACACTTTACTCTCACAGTGCCTCTCTCCACCCAGGTGTATAAATGGGTACCGGCGAACTTAATGCTGGGGGTAAC